TACTGAAATCCCGAGGAAACTTAGGGGAAACTTCAGAAAATGAAGGAGAGGGACAAAAACTGAAACCCTAACCATAGAACTTACCTCCAAAGACTCTAAACGTATTTCGAACCTTTAATCAAGCTCCCAAACATCCTTGGAGGGCTTTTAATCGGTAGGAATGGGTTTGGGTAGAGAGAATTGTGAAGGAGAGAGAGGGAAATCATGAAAATAACCCTCTCTTTGAACCCTAACCCTTCAAATACCCCTTTGGTCGCGACACTCTCGTTACAGCGACTTCTCTCGCTGCAGTGAGGCACCTCTCGCTGCAGCGACGCCCTCTGTCACTACAACGAAAAACTCAGACAAATTTGTACTCTGGTTTCTGCAGAATCTTGCTACAGCGAGATTGCACCCAGAAATGCACCCTAAATTGTCGCTCTGTCGCTATAGCGAGAAGGCGACAGTCGCATGCCTTCTTCCCAGGGACCTCTCGCTACAGCGAGAATGCCCTGCACCAAGACTTAACATATTTCTTTCAATCCAAATTCCAATCTCACACACATATATATACATTTACATATATCTGTATTCACACACACATTTCCATCAAACTAAGGCACATCTATTCATCCACATCACTATCAAGTCAATCATCATACCACAAAATAGTGTATATATATATATATATACTCAAATAATATTACATTTTCGGGGTGTTACACCCTAGGTTCTTCTCCTATAAGTTCAACCAAGAAGTGTGTTATTTTATTTGCTTTTATTCATAATTAATTTTATAATTAAAATTTGGTTCTTATTAAATTTCACATCTTTTAGGCTCAAATAATTGAATTAAGAAATTCTTAATAATTAGAAATCAATTTTTGTAGGACAATATTTCGAGAACTTATTTTAGAACCATTTATTACTTCTAAACTGGTACACTTGTCCAACGAACAGATACAAAATCAAAAATGAAAGGAGATAAAAGGTCCCATTGACTTTTATAAAAATAAACCATGGAGTCCATCAGAACCACGAGATTTCATGTTGTCTATACTAAATAAAGCAAATTTACCTTCTTCCATTGAGAGGTCAGCATTTAGGGTAACCACCTCAAGAGCATTAAGGAGGGGAAAAGAGGACACAGTGATGAGGGGAGGGCTATTGGGGTAGGGGTCATAATAAATGTTTCTAAAGAACTTAACAGTAAAGGATTGGAGTTTTCGGGGGTCATACTCCCAATTATTAAGGTCATCTTTTATAGTTTTTATATAGTTTTGATGTCCGCGAATAATAATAGCTTTATGGAAAAAATTGTTATTCCTATCACCACGCTTTAGGCAATTAGATTTGTATTGATGAGTCCAAAATATTTCCTCTTGATCCAAGATCGTTTGGTAATCCAACCATAAAGATTTCATAAATTACTTAGGAAAGGGTTGTCATTTACAACCAGTTTACAAGAGATCCCCCTAATTCTCTTCAATAAATGCCTTTTCCTTTTAAAAATATTCCTAAAAGTATTAATATTTCAATCAAAGATATTTTGTTGAAAATAGCTAATATTATCATTCCAGGACCTAAAGACCAGCTAGGAATTTCTAACTTGATTAGAAAAGTAACTATGAGAAACCCAGGAGGCTAAGAACTTAAAAGGCTTCTTGTTGGAATCAAAATTGTCCTTGTTTCTTATTTTTAGCCAAAGTCCAACATGATCATATTTTAAAAGGGCAATATGAATAAGAGAGTTGTTCTGGAACATCATTCTCCAAGAGTCATTAACAATGACTCTATCAATCCTTTTCATAATATTACCCTTTTGCTAGGTAAAAGGGTTTCCTTTAAAATCCAAATCTTGCAGGCCACAAGTATCCAAGCAGCTAGCAAACTGCTGGATCAGGTTAAGATTTGCAGGTCTACCCCCAATTTTTTCATGTTGGCAAAGAATTAAAGTTCTCAGCTAGACACCAGGGCTTTTTCACAGAGAAGCTAAATTCAAGTAATAATTACCAACAATCAGCTCTCATATTCTCTTAAGGACTCATATAAATAGAAGATAAAAGTCAATCCTACTATCGATTGCTAATATTAAGGTGAAGGATGTATTTGTTGCTGGATATAGTGCTAACAATGACTTTCCTGGTGTTCTAGCAACACCATATTCCCCTAATAAACCCCCTAGCATCTACTTTCTCTTATCCATCCAAGTTAATCTTCCTAATAACAACATCAGCCTTAAGAGAACTAATTTTGGGTTCAAAAAAGGCAATAAAGTCTAACTTATGGATTCTAATTAAGTCATTGACTAGTCTATGAAAGGTCTTATTTCCTGTACTCCTACAGTTCCAAAACTGACAATTCATGAATCTATTGTTTAGGGGTTATGAGCATCATCAAGATGCTGAGACAACTGACTGTGACTTACTAGAGGCAGCACATTTTCAACACTATTAGACACTAAGTGGTCCATTTTCTCACAGTCCATTGGATAAAAGACATCTGGAGGTCTATCAGTGGGAAAATGTTCCTGAAAATCTTGATTAATCCATAAATTTTCAAGATTCATACCTAAAAGGTTCTGTATAGAATTCCCACCTCTAGAATTTCTTTGGATATTATTTTCAAAATGTTTCATTAGCAAAAAGGTATCCCTACTTTCCTTATTAGCAACAATCACTTAACTATCCAGGTTAGTATGAGGGTGTTTGATTTATTCATATTTAATATAGCATCCTTCGCTCTATCCAATTTTTCAGATACAGGCAAAGATATATTCTTAGATGGTTTTTTACTAGATTCACTCATTCTGAGGATACTAGGGAACTTGGAGTTCATTTTCTAACTAGGTTGGTCCTTAGGATCAAACTTATTTTTGGGCAGAGGTCTTTGATTGCGAAGAGTCTCAAAATAAAGGTCATTACTCATGGCTTGTTCAAGTTTCCTAAGGATATCATATCTAGAGCCTTGATGAATCTTTCTCTTTTTACCCTAATTCACAGGGGCACCAACTGATCACTATCCTATCAAGGTTCACAACCTTGCTCAGTCAAGATCAACTCCTATATGTCCTTCTTTTTATTCTTCTCATCACCCATATTACTACCTATACTAACATTGATGTTTGTAGCCTAATCCCTATTCCTTTGGCTAAGACTAATAGAATCCACACATTGCTCTTCTCTATGTCCATATTTCCCATAATTAAAGCAAATGAAATGCATACCCTCATACTCAACTTTGAATTCCTGACCTAAAACTTTAAATGCTAAGACTAACTCCTTTCTTAAATTTATTTCTATACATATCCTAACAAACTTCCCTCTAGATACCAAAGATGTATGAGGATCAAATTTCAACATTATTCCTAAAGAATTCCCAACTTGCCATAGAAATTTAGTATAATAAAGCTCAAGGGGTAAATCAAGGATACACACCCACACAAAAATATTTCTCAAATTATAGCCTTTCGGTCTAAAAAAGAGTTGTCATCTTTGAACTAAGAGATAATGATCTAGAACTAATCAAGGTCATTCAAACAGGGGATACTTATAATCATCTAAGTTGTCAGACTTGACAAAAAAAAAAAATTATTAAGGTCAAGAATTTTTAAGGCCATTTTCTTCCTCCAAATGTTGTTCAGTTTCTGATTCAAGTAACTAAAGCTAGCTAACTTACCTAAGAGTTTTATAATAGGCGTTAACTTCCAAGGATAGCACCACTCTTCGTAGGTCTCTAGAGGAATTTTAATATCTAGACATAAATCTCTAGGGTTCTCAAACAAGTCAGTATTATCCTCAGTCTTGAGGTTGATATTAAAGTCATACAAAATCGATTTAAGGATTTTATCATCATTCAGAGTTAAATCCGTTTCATTTGATTCAAGAACTTTGTTCTTATAAGTACAAAAATTGGAAAGATTAGTATTAGAAAACACCTAAGTCACTTTTACCTCACCAGAATGCAAATCCTCCTGCATGCTCCATATCTCTCCTTTTACTGGGTTCTCACCGTCCATCTCGTCTTCTTGGTGCTTCGGTCCATTAGATCCAGTTCTTCTATGGACCGTTTCTACGCTTCATAGTGCTCCATGTCATCAAAACCACAATAGACACAAAGACACGTCGATGATCCTCCTTCACGAACACTACAGGAGCTTCACTTTCAGCCAAAACTTCATGACCCTCATTGAGCAGCTAAGGAAAAGAACCTTACTAGCACCACTTGTGACTCTTGAAAGAAAGGGAATAGGTTTTTTGAAATCCTAGCAGCATAGAGAAATTAAGTTTTTTTCTAATATGTATTTTTTAATTAATAAAACAAAGATGATATAACTTTGCCTTTTTTTTATTTTTTATTGGGTTGTAATATTTTTTTGGTAAGAATATCCCAACTAAAAAGAATAATGCATTATTATATTAATGGAGGAAAGAAAAAAATAGATAAAACCTTTAAAATAATTTTATTAGCACAATTCAGAAATAATAAATCAATTTTCATTTAAATCATTTAATGTTGAAGAAGGACAAAAATAAAAGGTCGAGGAATTTTGGTCTTATTATTATTTTTTTATTCGAATATTTTAGTTATTAAAATATTTTTTTTCTTGAAATCAAATACATTGAACTTATTACCTATTACCTGTTAATTATATTAAAAATAATAAAATTACAAGTAAAATTTATTCAATAAAAAACTATTTAATATTATATTCTTCATAAATTTTAATTAATAAAAAAAACTTTTGAAATATGTTACCGGTAGCGTGATATCTCCAAAAAAAAAAAAAAAAAAAAAACAGTTCATAAGCGTTTTCAAGAATATTGATTTTTTTCAAAAATATATTTGATTTATGTTTATTATTTTAGAGTGTGTGAAGGAATAGAGCACCGTAAATAACCCTCCCCAAAATTTTCTTTTAATTCTTTTGATTTCTTAAGTCAAGAAAGGCAAAATAATAATAATAATAAAGGTGAGATATAGGCATAGGAAGATAACGTGGTTGATCCGCGCGTGAAAGTAACGCACATTCCCATGCCTCCTACCGAAGGAGAGTGACGTTGCAACGATATCACACGGACATGTCTCCTCCTTCTCTTCTCTCTCGCTCTGCGCATTGTTTTCGGCGATCCAATCTGAGTGAGTGAGTGAGTGAGTGAGTGAGTGTGTGTCGGCATGGATTCAGTATTTTTGAGAACAAGATCGAGATCGAGATCGAGATCGAGATCCACGTTCTTCGCTGCTTCACTCCTATACATACTATCTTCCCTCGCTTTCACCACCTTTGCATCCATCCACATCTACGATCATGAACCTTTCAAAGAAGTCGGCAATGCTTACCTCCTCGCCGGCGGCAGTGAAGGCATCGTCGCTTCTCAAGACAATTCCATCCACGGTGGCCGTTCTTACATTCGGTAATCTCTCTTTTCTCTCTCTTCTCGCGATTACGAATAATGTAATGTAAGGTATATTCCAGCTGCAAGTGTGTCCGATTCGTGTCAAAACTCTGTGCATTGCTCGATCTAGTTTGAGTTTGTTACGGTCAGGGAAACGAAAATGGAAATCCGTGGATTACGTTTGCTTATGCCTGATTTAGGTAGATTCATGAATTTCTTTCAGGTAGGAGAAAAATATGGAGTGAACTAATCAATGCTTTAAAAATATACTAATTGATGGAGTAAGTGCTATAGTTAAATTGAGAGCTAAGTCAAACTAGTCTTACTCGTTGTTTCATCCAGCGGAGCCTGGACTCATTGATTAATCTCTTAGAATATTGAATCTTAGATGCGTCATATGTTTATGAATGATTCTGCCGAGATAAGATATGAACTCGTAGTTATGTTACATTTCTTAATCAGTTTCGTCAAAATATTGTTGCTGTCTTTGTCGACCAAGGGACTAATGAAGCATAGGAGATATGCATTGGTGAGGAAACCCCAACATTGAAGCATGATAAATATGTCTTTGGTATTGTTCTTTGAAATGTTAGAAATTGCATGTGGATTTAATAATTTATATATCTTTCCTCTTTGAGTTATGTGTCAAACATAACAGAAAACACTGACTTTTTCTTTTGGGGGATAGATTTGAGAATATTACCTTTAGGAGAAGCAAAGCTGCAGCCAAGGAGCGTGGTTCTGTGCCAGTGCACATCATAATTTTTGAGGCTGCTGATCGTAATGATATAGGTGGTTCTGCTTATGGTGGACAGCGGGCAATCTGTTGCACTTCTGATTTAGCTAAGATGGGAGGTTGTAAGCAAGGAGAGATTATTAGGAGACCTTCTGCAACAGACATTAATTGGCCAGTCATTTTAGATGTACAATTCAAGGGGAAACATGTCATTACAAGTCTAGATTCGAAGGAAGTATCCATAACTAAGACTGGAATGTATAATTTGTTTTTTGTAGCTTGTGACCCCAAGCTCAAGGAAATGGTAATGAGCGGGAAGACAATATGGAAAAACCCTGATGGGTATTTACCTGGTAGGATGGCCCCATTAAAGAAGTTCTATGTATTTATGACATTGGCTTATGTTTGCCTTAGCATCATTTGGTTCTTTCAGTACGTGAGGTTTTGGGATGATGTACTACAACTTCAGCACTGTATCACAGTTGTCATTGCTCTTGGATTGTTTGAGATGATTCTCTGGTATTTTGAGTATGTCAATTTCAACAATACTGGAATGAGACCTATTGTGCTCACAACATGGGTTGTAACTGTTGGGGCTTTAAGAAAAGCAATATCACGACTCCTCATTCTCTCTGTTTCAATGGGTTATGGTGTTGTGCGACCTACTCTTGGTGGTCTTACATCAAAGGTTCTTTTACTTGGAATAACTTACTTTTTAGCATCAGAGTTGCTGAATATTACTGAATATGTGGGGACCATCAATGATGTATCAGGAAGGGCAAGGCTCCTTCTAGTTCTTCCTGATGCTTTCTTGGATGCATTTTTGATATTATGGATTTTTACGTCTCTTTCAAGAACACTGGAGCAGTTACAGGTATCTTTGCTTCAAGTTCCTATTATTTTGCAGCACCCTACCTCCAATTTTTTTCTGTTTTGAATCTCAGTATCTTCTTTTTTCAATATTTTTGGTTTTTTACGGGGCTCTGCTTTGTCAGGCAAAACGGAGTTCTGTTAAGTTGGATATATATCGGAAATTCTCAAATGCATTAGCAGTAATGGTGTTCTCCTCAGTTGCTTGGATAGGATACGAGGTAAGGCTCATAATCAGTTTATTTTATCTTTGTACAAAACATTGTATACTTTTTGTTATTAATAACTGAAATTAGTGTTTTTATCCCAAAAATGAAAAATCGAAATTCATATTTCACTGCTTGGATACTGCATTGTTTCAAGAGAAGTGAAGGGAAAAAAATTGCCTGATCTTGACTTTACTAGCCCTTTTCAAGCTTTCTTGATATTCTACCCCTCAATTTTGCATTTAGGTACTGGACCTATCCCTTTATATCCTATTCCTCTAACAAGTAGTCAAGTGCTGGGTTTCTAAGTAGTAATTTGATTCAATGCTGAAGGGAGAAATGAGGGAGAATAGCTTACAGGAAGGAGCTAAGATACCCCCAAACCACACACAGTTGGCCCTTTTAAGTGCCAGCTCAGAGGTCTGTCATGCTTGCCAATTGGCAGCTAAGAGATCCATGTAAATGACCTTCCACTTAATGGGATAAGGCTTGTTATATTTTTTTGCCGTTAAAATATCAAGGAAACCAATCATTTGTAGAGAAGAGGCAATGTAAAGACCACTTTCAATGGATCTTTAACACATTAAAAACAAAACTTTCAGCAATCAACTAACTGAACAAGAGATAAATGTATGATCAAAGGAGACCACAAAAGCAATGCTTTCATTAGAATTAAAATTGATCAAATTCTGTACAAATTCAGTGGCAACTATTTGTGATTCTTTTCTTTTCGAATATATTTGGAAGAAATATTCAAGGGGTGTATCTGAGTCTGGTTTTGATTGTTTTTGGCTTCCATTTATTGATATGTTCTCCATTTTGGTTGCAGAAAATGCTTAACTATCTGTCCCTAGTTTTAATTGTGTTAAACTATAAAATGTTTGAAATGTTGTTTTGTCATGGAAATATACTGATATTGCATTTCAGTTTGTTATCTGGGTTACAATCACTGTGTGTTAATTTTGCTTCCACAGGTATACTTCAAAGCTACAGATCCTTTCAATGAGCGCTGGCAGAGTGCTTGGATCATCACTGCATTCTGGGACATTCTAGCATTTGCATTACTCTGTGTTTTATGCTATCTCTGGGCTCCATCCCAAAGCTCTCAAAGGTGAATTGCATTTTTTTATCTGTTAACCTGACTTTTCCTTCCTCACATTTATCATTGATTATATTTCTATTTTAAAGTAATTCATTAAGTGGGTCTCATCAACAAATTGGCTACAAGTTTTTGAAATTTATGGCCCCTCACTTAGGCATATTATATATTATGGCCTATAAGTGCAGGGTATGGAATGTGTCTTGCTACAAGTTGAAATTTGTGCTTGCTTTGTCCATTCAGAATTATTTTTTTATATTTATGTCATTCTATAGCTGATCGTGATTGTTGTATTTATTACATTCTAAAGTTTCTGACTTTCTGTAATGTTGTTGGCTAGTTGTAGTAGTGAAAAAAGAATTACCATGCTATGTCATGTTGTAATGGCTAATTCAAATGGCTTTGGGATGAGTCACTTTTATGTCCGATTTACATCTGCAATTTTTGTGTAGGTATGCGTATTCAGAGGAAGTGGGAGAAGAATCTGATGATGAAGAATCTCAGTCTCTCACTAAGGGAAAGCAGGAAGGTCAAGGTGAACTAAGTTTAGTCCGGCAAGAGAAGAATGGCGGAACTGATGGATCCTTTGATCAAGAAGACGAGTCAGAAGAGGATAAAAGGGAATGAGCTCTTTAACTGCTTTTGTTACCCGCACTTGCACCGTTTTCACATCGGGTTTCGTAGTCTCGGGCCACAACCCTTCGCAAGAGGAGTTGTAAAATTTTGTTAATTTGTACTCAAATAGAACAGCTTGATATTCTTTGTTTTTGAATACTAGTTGTTTTGTTATGTATGTAATTAATGTATAACAAGTATTGCAGACGCTGTGATCAAATTTGCTGTACCGTTCATGGCCCCCACACTCGTGGACTTGAGATCTCCTCCATTGTTGGATTAAGTGTGTGTTTTTAAACAAGGGTTTGTAAATTTGAGTTTGAACAAACTTGATTTTGTAGAATTTGTTTTATTTAAAAGTGAATTTAAAGTGATGTGATTTATGATCAGGAATATTTTGTCTAAAATGCAAATTTGTAACAATATTTAGTTTTTCAACTCAATACAAAAGCTACAATTTATCCCATTAATTCAAGCTCAAGTTTAAAGATAAAAATCAATTATATCATAAAATTCTCAAGCATGTAAGTAAATTTTAAATCATGTTTGCATCTTCAAATTTGAGTTTGAAAACTTTTAATGCACATCCAAACAAGTAATTATGTGTCTAATCCAAGAATAGAGAAATAAGGTTTTAATGTTTTTGAGTCACGACTTTATCATGGTTTTTTTTTTCTTTCTAATAAGAGACAAAACTTATTTTTAGATATATTTATTATTAATTTTTACATCTTTATTTAGTATGATATTTGTATTAAAGAGATTCATACACACTCAATATTCTATTAATACAAATTATTTGTTTGTTTAATATATAAATTATTACTATCAATTTATTAATTTTAACCTTTAAAGCTAAATTTAATCATTAAAAAATAATGAAAATGTTATAAAAAAAAATAAAGTAGACACATAATTAGCATGATAAAAATGTCAAGCTCTTATTAATGTATTCTCGATAAGATATGGACTCTATCTAAATCATTTAATCGACGAGAATTTTGCATGCATTTTGCCGGTCTGTACGAGTAAATATTCTTTTCATACTGAAAAAAAAGCTAATATTTACAACTAGTGACTCCTTGATATAAAATTAGTACTTAGTTTGATTTAAAGGCCGTGCTAGCATAGATTAAATATGAGCTTAAGGTACAACACCGTCAGAATATTTATCAAAACAACATTAGCTACTTCCCTAAATTACAGGATTGACAGACATTTCTAAAAAACATTGTCCTCCCTAAATTTGGCTACAACATGCAACTGGTGTGACTAACTTTCAAAGCTAACACGATCATTTTCTTGATTGACTTAAGGATTGAATGTTTCGGAAGGGGGTTTCTTTTCAGAGATATTTGGCCACTAGTCTTCCAATTTGACAGAAACTGAATATCAGCGGTAAAAAAACTGCAATCTCTAATTTGAATTTTTCATAAAGTTACAGACAATGGCTAGACGCCACTTCCCGGTTAACCACTCAGCCTAGTTCACATAAATCTACCACACTGCCACAAATCAACTATCCTAAAAGTACATTATCCCAAAAATGCTGTAGCACAGTAGATGCAAATTACATATGCTTGATATCTAGTAATCTTCAACGTTGTTTTTGATCCACAATCTTGAAGTTTCAAAACAGAAGGTACTACGATCATTCGACATCTGATTCTTCAGGCCCATCAATGTAAAGTTCAAAATCATCGGGACTCCACCTGCAAATTAGGTTAAGTCGAAATGTAGCCATCTTGATTCCCAGTAAACGCTGAAATGAACAGTACCTATGTCAGCATGTAAATCTCACTATTTTATAGAACATTAATAAGGTTATATATGACACGTTATAAAGTCAGTTACAATCACTTTGAACCTGTAGTAGATGTTAAATTGAAACGTGCAGGAATGATATAACTGACGATAACATGCAGGCCAATTACTACCCCCAAGATATTGGTTACTACGCCAAATTAAAAAAAAAAAAAAACCACAAGCAACAATTTCATGCACGCATCCCTCCCCCCCCTCCAAAAAAAAATAGAAGGCATTGGTACTCACTATATTAAAATGAAGTCAAGCGGGCTAAAAATAAAAAGATAGTAATGGGCAATACCACTCCAATTGTAAAAATGCCACAATATTTGTGACTTGTCATGGATGATTCAGGTAACAACAAAAAATAACTAACCAGTATGCGAGCAGCCTCAGGTGACAAGGGCTTCCCCTCCTCACAAACAATAAAATCAGAAACAAGCTCCACAACTCCTGTGAATATGAGAAACATCAATTATACACGTCCACCATTTGCAGGTCCATTTAAATTAAAGTAACAAAACAATGCAAAAGAATACCTTTATTTAACCGAACAGGCATGCCCTGCTTCCGGAGAAAAGGTTCCATCTCATGTGTGAACTGATCTAAAGGACCCTCTTTGAGATCAACCTAAAACACAGGGACAGTGAAAGTGAGTTTTCTATAAATTGTAATAGAATTTAATAACTAATGAATCTGACAGGCAAATGGTTTCTATTGATATGGACGAGAATTTTGCACTCAAATAAACAAGTCACGGCATTTGATGCATAAGAATAAAAAGCTTCAACATCTATTTTGAGGATTTTGCCCCAAATCACCCCATGAATTCTGTTACATGGTCTTTTCATGAACAACTTAAAAAGCTAAAAATGAACTTGGCTCTACACACCGATTCAGTGGCAACAGTTCCTGTTCTTGCAAAATCATATTCCTCAAAATCTTTAAACAGCCTGCATATATGGCATCAACAATAATAAGGTCAGAGTCAAAGAAACACATGTTGTTTTTTCGGCAATATTATTAGAAGTTAAAAACACAAATTGAATTGCAGTTGATTAAATTGCTATAAACTGGAGGAAAAGATATCAGATACATATATGGAAAAGATAACAAAACAAGTTTATATTAGTTTGTCAAGATTACCGTTCAACTTCTTCTTTAGGCAAATTCGTAAAAACCATCCCAGCATCTCCGCGCAATAGCTATAAGAAAAATATATTAAAAAAAAAAAAAATATTGGCTGGTAGAGACTAGAGAATAGAAGGTAACCTTTGAAACCTTGTGAAGGCCTGATCTAATCTCATCAGAAGCAGAACGACCTAGAGAGACTTGCATTACTTTGTTTGAACCCAGAAAGAACCTGCTACTCGATTTCAACTGTTCCCTGAACTGTTTGAATTTTTGATTCCTCATGTTCTCAAACGAAAACACGTAAACTGAACTGTACTTTTCAGCTGCTTCTTTTATTGCGTTCACTATCGCCTCTTTGTGATCCCTTCCCTTTTTCTTCGTCTTCGACAGCGTAACTGCGCATTTATTTGGTTATGTCAACAAAACCATCGTCTTCGCAAGAAAAATATAATGAAACAGCTGATATTCAGAGTAACGAAACGCAAACCTTGTCTATTTCGCTTCGACTTCGGCATTTTGGGTGTATGAATATGATTGAATGGTTAACCCTTTCGCAGTTGCAGCTTATTTGTGCGTAGGGTTTTAGTTTTCCTATTGATTCATATAAGAGGCTCGTGTGACGTGCGTGTGTTGTTGCGTCCATCTCCTCTAATCGGGTTGGGCTCAACATAATCAGAATGGGCTTTTCATCTTTCGCGGATTGCTTTTTCACCCACTTTCTCCTTTTATACCCTATTAACTTTTTTATATATTTTTTAAAAAAATATCACCACAAATAATTTGCTAACTTGAAAGTAGTAACATGAAAATAGATTCTCCGTATAAAATAATTAATTTATTTGCTATTTATAAAACTTTCCAAGAGTAATAAAGGAACATTTTATGAGTTATTGTATTTTTATATATATATTTATATTTTTTAATATTTAATCTATAATATTATTCAATTCACTATAATGGTTTTTTTAATTATAGAAGACCAACCTTATGAAGAGAAAGATGCGGAAGATAACGCATTTGAAAATATCGAATTAGATTTTGATATCATTTTCAAGCATTCCATTTTTTCTTATATATTTTTAAAATTTTTTCAATACTTAAACCATAATTTTATCTGTCACTATGATGTTTTTTTTCAACTATAGATGATCAACCATAGGAAGAGTATAATGCAGAGGATAACATCTATAAAAATATAAATAAAAAAAACATAATTTAGTATCATGTTTCTTGTTATTCTATTATTTTTATGCATTTTATTTATTTGTGTATATTCTTTTCAATATTTAATCTATAACGTCAAAAGGACCATATATGAAACTTCATTAGAGAAAAGTAATGATGGAAAATTGAAAAAGGGGGTGACTAAATTATTGGCATCACAGTTTGATAATCATATAAATATTGTTAAACACATTTGGAAACTTACTAAAAATAAAGGAATTTATACTAATGTTTTCCATAAAACGATAAATTAAGATTGCAAGATAATTTAGGTCGACTTTTATTGAGTTCGTGAGATTTATTTAGGATATCTATTAGATTACTTGATCATGCATTGAGCATGAATTTAAGAATAATACATAAAAGTCTAAAGTCAAGTAAAATAATGAAGACACTCAAGTGCTATAAGATATTTTTTTATTAAAAAAATAAAAAAGCTAGAATAATTTTATATATCAACTAGTAAATATACTAGTGTATTATTTGCGTTTATTTTATTTTTATTAAATAAAATTATTTCAAAAAATATATAATTTAAATATAAAATATATATAAATATAGTTAAAAAGTATTATATTAAATATAATTATACTGAGGAAGATTATAAAATATTTTTTTATACAAAATATTTTTTGTATATCTTATATATTTGTTATTATCTTCAATAATAAAGATTTTTATTTCTTTTATTAACGTTATTCTAAACAATACAACATATAACTAACTATGACTAAATATAAATTTTGACAAATATAGTCTAATATAATTTAATAATTGTCTTTGACTCTTGTATATCATTATTGCATAACATACTTTCATTAAAAATTATTTTCTTTTTAAAAGAAAAGGTTATTTGGAGTCACTTGCTCTCAAAACTATGTACAAAATGAGTATTTTGACACCAAAGTTGTTTTGTGTAATTATTTTTGCTTCAACACATGATAAAAAAAATCTTATTCCATTGCACATTTCTAATGCAAAATTGATATTCCTAAGTAACATAAGTTTTTCAGTAATTTTATCAGTTACTTTGTCAACTTCGTCAAATCTTTTATAATATTTTGTTGATACTTCAATCATATTTATAATATAATTATTAATATCATCAACAATGTCATTTAAAGGAGTAAGTACAATTCTTTCTTAAAGATATTTTTTATCTCACATTTGTTGTTGAAAATTTGAATATGTGCTCTCAAAAATTTGTTTAAGTGAATCATTGGTTAACTTAAGTAGATATTGACTTGAAATTTTTATCCACATAAAAATATTTTTTTCCTTTTTTACTAATTGGTGGTATGTTTCTATCTTAATTCTATATTCAATTTATAATTTATAATAAAAAAATAATGATATGATATATTTAATTCTATAATTTGTATGATATAATATTAACTATAAGAGTGAATATGATAAACTTTACATATGTATAATCAAATTATATTTAATAAATAAATAAACAAACATCATCGCAGTTTATAATATTAATACAAATAAATGCATGAATAAAATTTTATAATCATTCTCTAATTGAAATAAAGAAGTAAATTAATTTTAAAATATGAAATAATTTTAAATAAGTGTTTATCAATTTAATAATAATACAATTAATAAAATTAAGATAATATTTTAAAATTAAAAAATAATAAATTAAGATAATAATAAAACTAATAATAAGTTAAATTTTAAAGAAAATACCAATAAATAAATAAGTGAAATTATACTATATATATATATATATATATATATAATGATACATACTATTAGTTGTTTTAAAATAAAATATAATAAATAAATTTCATACAATAATAATTATAATAAATTTTAAAAGATAAATAAATTAATATTAATATACTTAAAAATTTTCTAAATTTTTAAAAACATTTAATGATGACATTAACAAATATTTCATTTAGTACTTAAAAAGAATTTTTTTTTATGATCATGAGAAATAAATTAATTTACAAATTTATGATACATAATAAATTGATAGTAATATAATACATATTTGTAATATTTTTAAATTTTAATTATTTATTAATATATAAAAATAAATAAAATTAAAATGTTAGGAAAAAAAAGAACAAGTTGATTATGTAAAATATAAATAAATAAATTTTTTATTACTATCAAAATTTTAATAATAATAATAATAATAATAATAATAATAATAATAATAATAATAATAATAATAATTTCAGCATAAATACATAAATAAAATTAAATGGTAATGTATGCAAATTAAAATATATTAATCTTTTTCATTGTTACATAAACAAATTTATTTAAAAAAATATCATACATTTCAGAACATTATTGTAAAATTTAAATGTGTATAATTTAGTATTTTTTAGAGTTAATTATATCAATTTAGAACATTTGATAGATAAAAACATATATATGATAAAAGTATAAAATTAATTTAAAATAGCATAAAATTTCTAATTTTTAAAATCTAAAAATAAAATTTATATTATTTCATGATATCATAAAATTATTCGTTATTATAAAATTTAAAAATAAATAATTATAACAATAACTTATTAAATATAAATTTTTTTAATGATATATAGAGTTAAAATAAAATATCCAATAGTTTTTAATTTTTTTATTTGTTTATATTTGTTAACCTAAATTTATATGATAAATTTTTTATTTATAATTATAATTTAAAATTACTAATAAAATTTTTACAATATTATTATCAAAGGATGATATAATATTTTTTTTTTTAAATAACTCATCAGACTAATATATACAAAAATAAAATTATATTTATTTAACTAAAGCATAAAATTTTAAGAATATGATTCCAATATAATTATATTCAAAACTATATGTTAATATCTAAAAATAAAAATATATTAATTTTTTTGTAAATAAATAAAATTACTATAAAAAAGATTGTAAATAAAAATTAATAACATAGCAATATATATTCTTAATTTATAAGATTAGTTTTTGATAAAAATAAAAAATATATAATTGAGTTTTTTTAAGTAATTAAATTATTTTATATTATTTGATAACTTAATAGAATTAATATTGATTAATATTATTAAAAATTAATTTTATTAAATAACTAATTAAGTATAACCAAGTTATGTCGTATGGTCATAAAATTAAAATAATAAATTTATTAATTTTTTTTATACATTTATTTTTAATTTTAAAATAATTAATATGGTTTGTTAAAATAAAAAATTTATTAATATAAATAAAATTTAGAAAATAAATTTAAAATTCTATATGAAAGGAACATGTAGATTAAATTAAAAGTAAGTAATATATATATATATATATATATATATATTATTAGATCCATAATTATTTTAAAAATATATAAATATAACTTCAACATAAACATGTTAAAATATTATATTATAAAAAAAATAGATATATTCTAACTATTTTGATGTAGTGAGTGTATTTGAGATTTAATGATTATTTTTGTATATATTTTTTGTGTAACGTTCTGTGTCTTACTATGTTGTCTAATGTGTCATACATTACTTAGTTCTAAAAAAAAATTAATAATTAATGAACTTGATTTAAATATATTTTTAAATTAAAAATTGTATAATTTTAAGAATATAACATACTAAATAATTATATTAATAAAAAAATGTATTTGTAATGATTTAATTTTTTTTACATATAATACTTATATTTTAATTTATATCTTGGAAACTAATTGTAAGTTTTAAAAATGACTGATTTTTTCTATTATGAAGCACTTTTTTCTGTGTTTGTAATTGAATGTTTTCAGAAAATTTTTTAAAAATATTAGAACCTCTTTTTCAATTTAAAAATTTTGAATAATCATATAGTTAGAATATGAAATGCTAATAAATAAATATAATTTAATATGTTAATATAGAGAATATTTTTATATTTTAAACAATAAAATTTTTCTTTTTCTTATTGTAAGTCCTTCTGTATTTATGAAAATTTAGATTTTTTATTCACAAAATTTTAAAAATACATTAGGGAAAATATTTGAATGTAAAGAAAATATTAAAAGAGTAAAAAACTTTAATTACCTTTTGAAACAAATAATATATATATATATAGAAATTAAATATAACAGTCAAACTTAATTTAAAGTTAAAAGACAATATAATTATAATTTATTATAAATAATAAATTTTTTATAAAAAAAAATATAAATACTAATATTTTTTCATTAATTAGTATCATATCAATACTAGTTAACTCTTTTTAGCGATACATGTTTAGAGTACCCACGATCGATTGATATTTTTGCACTTTTATTTTCCAATCATCTGTTATTGAATTCAAACGGTTAAGTAGAGTCTATTTATCTTCTTTAAAAGTTGTTATTCTCCTATAAAAGTATGAAAAATATAAAAGCAAATAGTTATGTGATAAATATAAA